GAGTACGTGAACAGAGTTTATTCTTGTATTATTATTTATTTGTAACTTAATTTTTCCTACCCCTATATACATATGTAATGTGTATATATATATATATGCATTAGTGTATATACATACTAATATATATTAGTATATAATACTATATAGGCATTATGATAATTGATATAAAAATAGCTTTGAATCACAATTATCCATTGAATGAAAATACAGAGGATATCATTTTTAGATGAAGAACTTTACCGTTTACCTATTTTCTTGTTTTCATCCTTTGAAATTTAAACTTTTATATTGCCTCAAACAGTAAAGGATCTCACTGAAGAGGCAGAGGATATTTGTCTTGAAAAATTGGTATAAAATCAATATTTTTCTTTAACATGTCATAGGGTTTATCACTTTAAAAAACAGAATGTAAACCTGGAGTCTATCTCTTCAGCTAACTTTATGATTAACTCATATTTTGTTAAAACTGTGACACTAGTGCTAGAACTTTTTCAAGTGTAAATAGGCATGACATTCACATCAGATCTTCTTATTTCATAGGACATAATCATTCCATTCTGTTTTTAACTGTCAACAATTAAAATTTAGCATTAAAAAAATCTCTAATTTGGAAATGAGAAGCCCAGCTTTGCCTGTCACTCTGTGACTTAAAACAAGATTCCTAAATTTATGGCACTTCACTTTCCTCATCTATAAAACTTAAGTGGTTGGGATAGATCAGTGGTTCTCAACCCTGGCTGCACACTAGAATCATTTGGGGAGCATTAAAAGAGTAATAATGCCCAGACCCCACCCAGAGTTTAATTTTTAAAGGTCTCCAGGTAACTTTAGCGTACAGCAAGTGTTGAAAACCAATGGGCTAGATGATTGCTAAGGTCAATTCTAGCAAAACTTTCTAATTTTATGATTCATTGTGCTTTGACATAGCAACAGTTGCTAGAGGTAAGTGTTTTCAGTATTTGCAGTGTCCTTTTAGTACTTGAAATTACCCTCAAAGACCATTTCTACTCAAAATTGATAACACCTTATCTATAGTCCAAAATTGTCTATATTTTGAGAATAATTTGAAGCAAGAGTCATACATGCGCATCAAAAATAGCATAGGTTTACCTAATTCTTAGAAATGAACACTGCTATGATTGGAAAATAATTACTTTCAGTACACATACACTGTAAGGATAGTGTACAAAGAAATTGTGTGTAAAATTTCTTAAATTGCTCTTGTAGCTATTTTGATTTTGAATAAATGGACCATTAATATCCTAAGAGATAACAAACCTCCTAAAGTGTATAACTTATTCATAATAAATACTTTACACATTGATTTATTATGAAGCAGAATAGACAGTTTTATAAAGGACTGATTCAAGTGGAATATCTATTTGTGCTGGTATTTCAAAGATAAAAGATTTTTTGAAGCACTTTTGAAATGTGTCAGAATAAGTTTTTTCTGTTTTTTACTAAACAACTTTTCACTGGGGTTAAAAGATAACTTTTTTTTAAGCTTAAATACTAGAAAATATAGCAACATACTATATTATTTAAAGTTCCCATAAAATCAAGAACACAACAACACACTCAGATCCATAAAGAAACTCTGTAGATTCTTAGGAAATTGGGGAATGGCCTTAAATATTAATCTTAGAAGGAATGGATTTTGTTTTTTATTTTAATACAATTCTGCGCTTGTGGGTCTGTATTTTTGAATATTTAGGACAGGCAGACTCTTTTCTTCTTTCAACCAGTCCAATAATAGGCAGAAGGAGAAGAGGTAAGATGACAACTAACATGAGTGACTGTAGGTGTTACCCATACAGAATGTGCTGGTTGTATGAAATTTCTGCAGGCCTAGTTATTTTTGAAAACTATTTGAAAAAAAATTATTGTCCAAAAGTGACACTATGGAAAAGGAATATGTGATTTCAGTATAATTTGTATGTCTGTATCATTATTCTGTGTCTGTGTTTGATACTGTCAGTCTGTTATTTTTATCTTTAATGTTCATACATACTTTATTGTATTTTTTGCCCTATTGATGACAACCTAAATTCAATAGCTAAGAATAATATACAGATGTACTATTAATCACAGCATGCAAAACTATGACATGGAAGAATAATGTGAATGCTGGAATAGTCGACACATTTAAAAACCTTGTGGTGTGCAGACTGGGGAAGCTGCTTTGCTTCACATTACCTCTACAACATATCAGTGTGCTTTACCAGGTCTCCTGAAATCGATCAAAGACATGTACCATGCTTTCAAAAAATTTTATATAGTAGGAGTAAACTATGAAATGTTTGAAAATGAAGGCGATATGTACTGTAGGTTTTATAATAATAGTGACATGTATGTTAGTGATTTAAAAACTACTTTATAAGAGTTTTATATGGTTTTAAAATATCAAGAGGTTTTATGAAACAATATTAAATTTAGCATCTGAATGACATCACACTTCTTATTCCTCAACTCTTGGGAGATGAGTAGAAATTGGTTGTAACCCCTCACCTTTTAAGATTTTTCTTTTCCTCTTTATCTCCAAATTCTAGTGTTGTCCTATCAGATGCATTTATTTGATGCATTATTTTGTGTTTTATTTCTTGGTATAAGTGCATGAATGACAGAGCACAATTTGATATTATTATCCATTAGTTTATTCATCTAAAGTCAACAAAGGGCTAATAATTCCAAAGAAAGGTAAGGGGCAGAAGCCATGTAGCCTCAGGAACGTATATATGAAAAGGCGAGGGAGGCATTAGATGCATTTCATGCTGCAAGAAGTGAAAGAATAAAGCATGGAGACTAGTGTCACTTCCCAACTTTGCCTGGGGCTGGGCCAGGTCAGCAAATCAATAATTATACAAAGTAAAGTAGACTGACCTACTTTTCTAAAGATGGTATACAAAGTTTACATGATCTTAAGAACCTAGCAATATTATATTGAACACGGACTTTATATCAGACAGGCATAAGTTTTGTGATGCTAACATTTTCTTAAGTAAACACACTTTTATTTCCTGGATATAAATGTATAACTTTGTCTTCATAGAGGTCTTATTTACAGTGAAGATTTTTTTTTCCTTGTTAAGACTTTGAGTTGCTTTATTGTGAAAGTATAAGTACTGGACTCCATTTTGAATGCACTGATACTGCATTAAAGTAAAGCTGTCATCTAGGATGAATAATGCAGGTGGTTATGTTTTAAAATATGTCAGATCCTCTTAAATGAATCTTTTTTCTTTAAACTCTAATCAGTTAGATAAATGTTTTTCATTTGACCTTAACTGTTGCAAGAAGATAAGAGAGAGACAGCTGATAAATTGAAGTGCTATGGTTAGATAGAATTGGAATTAAATACCGTTGCATTTGGTTGAAGGTCTAACTGATTGTTTTTAAAAAAATTGGCATGGTCACATGACATCATAAGAAAGAAAAGAGACTTACCAAAATTTGAATTGGCTGATACTTGGAGGTATTTGGATAAACTTAGGTATAATTATTATGTAACTCTCCCCAAATACAGTGTATTTCTTCTTAAAAGAGGTTGTAAAGAGTATTTTGAGTCATGAATATTAATACTTTAAATCATGAATATTAAAAAGACAGTGCTTCTAGATACCAATAAGAGATTATGTGAGTTATATTCTATAGCTCAACTTGGCAGTCCAGCTGTCACAGAGAAGTATCTCTCATTGAAATCTCTTAGAAATAGACTGGGTGCATATTTAACCCAATAGCTTTAGGCATTCAAACCTGAAGTAGGTGAAATCAAAAGTATCACATCAAAATTAACTTTAAGCCATGTGTTATCCTCTTTGAGTTTTAGAGTAAGTTTAACACAGATAGTAACTTAATTTGAAATTTAAATGCACACATACATAGGTTTGCTACTTGGAGAGTTTCCATGCCTGGGGGAAGGGAGGTGACATTTGGTGCAGTCAGCATATAACACGTGTAATGGTAATAAAGTCGATTGGTTAAACTGATAATTCTCTTTTTTTCCCTTTCTGCCTCTTCCTGTAGAGTAGTTTAGCTGAGGTGGATGGGTTCTCCCCCATCCTTCCTCCCCACCAAGGAGGCGTAGGTTGATACCATTTTTATTGTTCTGCTGGGGTGGGAAATAAACCATATGCTTTGGAATTTTGAATGGCTACACTAAAAAGAAAATTGAAACAGGCCCTCTTTCCCCCTTCCTACCAGACTTGGATGTGGGGTTATTTCTCTAAATGTTCTAGCTGACTTGTAGTTAGCTTAATGCTTTACTCTAGGGCAAAGAGGTGGGACAGGGGAAGAAATGTCAAAGGCTTCAGAGGCACTTTGAGCTGAGCAAAGTGTGGAGTGGAAGCCTTATGTCTGAAACCCACCCCGCCCCTGGATACCAGGCATAGGCAATAAGAATCGGAACCAGCTGATGCCGCTGCTGCTGTTTCCCGTTTCCAGGGTGAATTTTTCACAGCAGCTAATTCTAAAGGAAGGAAAAATCCCTAACCAGCAGCGAAGAAGATCCTATCACCCAGCCAACCCATGTAACCTTTTTAGGCAGGATTTCCAGAGAAATCCGCATTTCAAAAGCAAGCATTCATGATCCAAAAATACGGGACAGGAATCAGAGTAAAAAGCCTCTTTACACTCTGAGTGTTTGAAATGATCCGATGAGCATAGGAAGCGGCTGCCAATGCTCTGGCGGCTCCTCGTGCTGCTGCCGCTGCCGCCGCTGCTGTTCCTCGCAGAGGGCTGGACAGAGCTAGTCCCGGTTTCAGCACCCCCGGCGCTGGACAGCTCTCTGCACGCACGCCGCACCACCGCCTGCTTGCTTTTTCCAAACACTCTCGCTTTGCATTACTGGAGATGCATCTAAATTACGTCCTGTTCAACAACAAGTAGATTTTTTTTTTCCTGTACGAGAATTACAGTAGACAATTCTCTTAATTAAACTGCATTTTCTTCTTTACGGATTTGGCCGTCAGGCGTATTTATCCCGATCTCCCCCCCCTTTGCAGGAACGAGTCTTTGGGAACGTGGTCCACCCAGGGATGTAAAACTGTGCTTACCGATGCATCCCATACGAAATGCTTATGTGATCGTCTCTCTACCTTCGCCATTTTGGCTCAGCAACCTAGAGAAATAGTAAGTAACAAAGGGAAAACACGGCTTTAATGCAAAGGCAGGGACATTGTGGCAAGTGTTTCTCCAGGGAACTGCATTTTAATGGGGAAAAGGAAAATGTTGCAGGGTGGCAAAATTGGGTTCTCCTCCTTAGCTACAGTAGGTTGGTGGAATGAATTGTAGTTGGTGTGCTATAACTAAATTCTACTCAATTTTATATCTTCTAACTTGAAATTTCTACAGTATAGTTTTGAGGATATACTTCAATCATATTGCTAATATGCTGCAAACTTTCACATAAAAATATCTGTCAACTTAACCTTTATTTTAGAACTGGAGAGCTGTTCTGGGGAATTTTTGAGGATACTGTTGATAGTAGAATGAAGACCCCAGGCACTACAGCCAAACACATTGCATATCTGCATTGAATATTTTCAGTTCAGGTTTTCTGGGGGTGTCCTTGGATATTTATTTTTAAAAAATCAAATGAAGTTTTCCTGAAAGTATGGGCTGTCAAAAATTGTAAAATCATTCCTTAGAAGTATATAGGTTTATAAAACTAGTTTCTGAAATAGACAGCTGTATAAACTAAAAGAAAAATAATATAATAATATCCTCATCAAATGTATTTGGAAAATTATTTCAAAAGCTGAAATACTTAAAAATAATTATTAAGATAACTATGACTTTCTGTTTAAATTTGGCCTAAATATACATCACTCTTCTTACTTATTTTGATGACCAAAGGGAAAAAAAACCTAATATAATTTAATGTGTATGTCTAAGGTTTGGCACACTTTTAGTCTTAAAGTGCATTTCTTCAAACTTCCAATATTAAAAATATGAAAAATAACAGATTTCATTAGTTAGTATCATGTTAGTGTTTATGAAAGAAACCTTTCGTATGTGACTGCTTGTAATCTTGACATATGTTTTTAAAGATATAAGGCTTATTTTTCAAGGTCATGTATTTAAGGACTGATACTATACTAGCATTGTGAAAATTATCTCTGCATATTTTGTTCATAGAAAAAAAATCACTGAATATAGTCTAAGATCTTGCATGTAAATTTTATTTTCTTCTATGCCCTTAGAGATCAAGCAAGTGAAGTTAAATGAGAGAACACTTGACTTAGAATGAAGTTGTCAAAAGTCAGAAAGTTTGAAAATTTTTCAATATTTGAGTACCAGATTCAGGTCACATAATGAGTTGTAAAAGGGAGGGTCAAAGTAATTTGTACCAAAAAACATATTGTGAAATAACTGAACTATAGTTAATTGAAGAAAAGTGAATGCTGATTCAAAATTCAGCTGGAAAATTTTAACATGTGAATGTTATCCAAGTTGTAGTTTTAGTTATTTATTTTAGAAAGCCATAAATGGATAATAAGTCATTATCAAGCATTTAAAACTCTAAGGCCTTTATTACCTCACAGTTGTGGGGGGGGTGGAGCTCGAATTAGTCATTTTAGAGATTGAGAATATGTGAACAGAGTGGTTACTGGGTAATTATCTGGTAACTATAACAACTATCTTGGTTATTTTTTGAGTGTTAGGAGAGTTTTGCCGAGTTTAGAACCTATTTTAATTTATTTAAAAATTCTTTTTGTTATTGTTGTTTAACTTGCAGATCATGGAGTCCTCTGGTACACCTTCAGTCACCCTAATAGTAGGCAGTGGCCTTTCCTGTTTGGCCTTGATCACCCTCGCAGTTGTCTATGCAGCATTATGGAGGTACGTGATCGATTAATACATTTGAAATGCAGTGCTCTGTTTCTCAGAGTTAAATTAGGAAATATGGTAACCAATATTATGTCTCCTTTTCTTAATTCACTGGAAAAGTATTTTTAGTACAGAGTTGTAATAGCTGTCATTGAGCTATAATAAATGAGCCCAATAATAATAATAATAAAAAGTGTTTACCCCATTTTCTCATCTGTATTTGCTTATGATGAGAAAATAAACAAAATATGCACATATTTTTCTTCCCAATTCCAATAATGGTAGCCCTCAACAAGTTGCTTAAGCCCAGGTGTGGTATTCTTATACCCCAAGTTCAGCCTATGTGTGGTTTCTACAATATTTACCCAAATTGCTGTTAAGCTTGAGAGTTTAACTGATACAGCCAATCACTCTCTCTGTTATAGAAATGTGGTATCTCTCTAAGTTCTTAAGTTTTAAATGCATGTTTTCAGTGTGTTCCAGACAATAGGTAAAATCTCTCTAATACTAATGCACTAGCATAATACCTCAATGCTCTGAAAAAACCTTTGGCTGAATATTTTGAATAAGTCAGATTTTCATAAATTGATTAAAATAAAGACAGAAAAACACAAAAACAAGGTCAAGTGATTGAAAAAATTGTGTACACCATTTAAAATTTCATCTGCTTTGTATGAAAATTTAGTATTTCTCAAAGAATTGTTTTTCTATTAAAATTAGATTTGTGAAGTTTGTTATGTGTACTCACATCATAAACTAGTGCATAACTAGTACATAACCAAATTGCCGAATTTCTAATGGATTTTTAAATGTTAAATATTTTTATTTTCACTTTTAATTAGTTAAAAATGTTCTAAAAACAGATCCTATATTCATAATAGATAATTTTTTATTATTTCCTGAAAAATTACAGTATTAAAATTACAAAAGTAGTCAGTCTAAGCTACTTATCTTTTACTTAGAATTAAAAAAATTTAGTTAAAAAATTAATTACAATTTAATAAGGAAAGTTCATTTTACTTAACATCATTTTTTAAAAATATCATTGTTCTCCATTATGTGTTTTACTCCTTTGTGGACAAAAATTAATTGTTCAGGATATTAAATCATCAAAGATATTAAAATTTTTATTCTTTATACAAAAATAAAATATGTACATATTCTTGGTCCACTGGCACAGATATGTATAATAGAGGTTCTGTCTTCCTGCAAAGGAGTTATCTGGTAGTAAAACACTAACAAAGTGTGATACTCTGATAAAACATGGCCAGTCCCATGAAATGAAGGAAATACTTGGTCTAGGCATGGCATTGTAGACAACAGAATTCAGGGTTCAGGGCTCAGTCAACCAGACATTGTGCTGGCAATAAAGGAGCAAGTTAGACAAAGGCTGGGAAGAAAACAACTTTCTCTCCCACAGTTGTCTAAATGGTACTTCTAGGCAAATCAGGCAGTGTTTAAGGGCCAGGATACCAGGTAATTACAATAGCATCATAATTTTTACTCACTGAATTGTTTAGAACTAAGTTTCTACTTCTCAGCACTTAGAGTTCAGGCACTAATTTCGCCTTCTCTTCACCCTCAATACATATAGTCAACACTAGCACTGCTAATATAAGTGATATGTAAAATGTGTCAAAGAAGTACAGGATTGATTGATCAATTCATAACAAAGTTTTCTTTAATCCAGAAAATTCAGGAAAATTGCTTGTTCCAATAGTTACCTAAGAATCGCCAAGACACCTAAAATGATCTATCAAAACTTAACATGAAACTGAGAAGTATGGAAGAAAGGGCCTAGAAACAATGTAAATCTGGATTCCTAGCAGTTAGTGACCATCAACTCATTGTCCACAAGTAGAAGAACTGAACTAATATGAATAGTTTGATAGAAGTTTTAAGTCTCATAAATGATTATGTGAATCTTGTAGCATGACAAGTTCAGTGCATTTTATAAACACTAAATTTGACTTATAACATTATGATATGGTATTACTCGTGTTAGTATCCTGCTGCCTTTTATCTAATTAAAAATGTTTAATTTTTTTATTTTATAAGGATTTGTAAAATCTATGGACATCAGAATTATTTTTATATATAATATAGTATTTTGAACTTTGTTGGTTGCCCATGTAGTTCATTAGAAAGTTCATCAAATAGTTAATACACATAGCTCTGGTCTTTCCATATATAGATATGTTCTGCAGAGTTACTATATCAAAGAGCAACTGAACATGTCCTTTCAATCCATGTGTTGAAATTATGCAGTCACAAATTTTGTTTAAAATATCAAAGATCTATATTAAAGTCTTGAAAGTTGAGATATTTTATCCCTGTTTTTAAGGCAATAATGTGACTCGGTATTAATGAAAATGGAAGCATCTAAAGACATTGCAGGGTGTCAACCTCAGTCTTTTATTACCGCGATTTTCCTATTTACAGGGCAAATGACATCACTGAAACCCTTTTAATAATGTCATCTTTGTGCTTCTTCTGTCATGGAAGCCATTAACATCATATAAAGGGTCAATTTTGTGCAGCCCTTAAACTTTTTATGTTACATCTCCCACACAAAAAAAGAAAACTCTTAATATTTGATGATGTTTTCAGTATCTCAGTATGTGGTTTATTATATTTTTAGATACTGATAATGGCAGGGACAAGGTTAAGTAACTCTTGAGGCCATTACAAAAATGACCTGGGTCAACCCTATCTGGGTTTGTTTTGCGAAAAAAGGAAATTTTTTAATCCAAAATGTCCTCCTTGTATTTTGTTACTTCTGTTCTTTTTTATTTCTCTTCTGAAATGTGTAATGGCATGTGAGGCTTCTGCCTAAATATTCCTCAAAGACAGAGGGAGAGATTTTATCTTCCAAAGAGTGCCTCCATACCTCTGGCACCCCCATCTAACACTGCACAGGAAAGCCCATGCCTGCTGTGGAAAGTGATTTCATGTTCTAATAGAAACTGAACAGATTCAAACACATAGCAAGTACAAGTGCGTCTTTCTGTTATTGTCACTCAGCAATTTACTACAGGGTACAGTAAAGCAAAATAGCTGTTACCCTTTCAGGGTAAACAGCTGGTAGAACATTTGATTCTAAGTAGTTTTCTCCATGGCTTACAATCTTGATGCACTTACAAATTATGTAACAGACTGTCTACAGCACTTCTTCATAAGGGTAAAATATGGCAGATGCCATGTAATTTTCCAGCCTAATGATGAGTTATTATTTCTAGATTAGATTAGTTTTTAGAGATAAAGCTTCAGTGTGTTTTTTCTTTTTCTTTTGGAACAGTTATTTAGGAAAAATAAAATGTAAGGAGACGTAGCCTGACTACATAAAAAGAGTTGAGTGGATGAAATGGTGGGTGAGGTGTTCATGGTTTCATGAGAGTAATGACACATTCTAGTAAACAAGGGAGACTTCAGAATCTGTGGTTTTTCTTTTGGTTTTCAAAGTTTCTCTTGGCTGATTTATATGATAAAACTTAACATATTATATACATATATATGTAAAGGTAATTATGCTAATTAACATATTTGCAAGAAATTTTACATTCCTAGTAAAGAAAAAATTATGCTAATAACAGTTGTGCAGCTTAGGCCCTATCAGAAATGTCACATCCGCACTGATTTCTAATGAAAAAAACAGGACCCTAGGTCAAGCCATGCCACTGTAAAATTGGGTCTCTAAGAATAATCTTTATTTAAAAAAAAAACAATAATGTAAAAATTTTTAATGTTTTTTTTTCTCTTGTAAAAGCTGTATTATAGCGTTTATTTTTCTGGATGAATTCCACCAATTTCCATAATATAGTATTCTTTATCTCTCTGTTGAATTTTAAAATTGGGTACTCTTTCTCTCTCTGTCCAGGTATATACGCTCTGAGAGGTCTATAATTCTAATTAACTTCTGCCTGTCTATCATCTCATCCAACATCCTCATACTGGTTGGACAGACTCAGACTCACAATAAGGTATGACTGGTAGTTATTCTAATCCTCTTTGTGTGCTTATGGTTTGACAGAAAGTTGGTTGTTGATAATCTAAACATTTATTCTAAATAAAATAAAGACCATCTGACAAAATTATTTTTAAAACTTATTTTATTTCTGAATAAAAATATTGCCTATTCCAGACCAGATATATATTCCTATGGCTTAATCTCCTAGGGATTGAGAGGCTGTTTATAATAGAAAGATATGTGTTTGTTAAGCATTACATCAAAACTCTATGAGTTCAAAGCCTTAGAACATCAAAAGCACAAATTTTGATTCACTACCCTAATCGTAATAGGATTGCCTGTGTTTTGGTCTAATTTATTCATATACTGATTCCTTAAAGTTAACTCTAAATTGTTGACAAGTGTAACACAGATCTTGAAAATCTACCTAAAAATTGTCTATAGGCAGTAATGAAAGACAGTATCAGGTGAGAGCAACTCTAGGTTTTTGTCTCTCAAAAAGTTTTCCTTAACGTAAATTATTTCGATACTTAATTGGTATTGCAGTTCTTGAAATGCCTAGTCACTTTCAGCAGAATGTAAAAGTATAGGTCCTATTTATAAGAGTTGACTTGAGTTGAATGACTATGTTTGTTCCAGAAGTGACTGTTAGCTCTCCTTACTAAACTACTCTGAAATGCATTCCAAGAAACCCATAATAGCAATCTAAATTAACTTATCCCTACCTCAAAGGATTTCTGGTAAACACTGCTTTAATAATGTGTTGATCAACGCGGGCCTGTTTTTTTCTCAAAATTTTTTTTTAAATTTTCAAATATTAAAGCCAATAATTGAAATTTTTCCCCATAAGAGGTCATTAAAAAAAATCAAATGTCCTTTCCATTAGGTTCCTTTGATATAGTAGATACTTGTAGGACATGTATAAAGCTTTCTCCACTAAAGCTTTCTTTCCTGTAATTGTTTACTATCCACTCTTGAGTTATGCCCCTCATTAGAATACGATCTTCGGCAGGAAATATGCTTTCAAAACTGTTTCATGCTCCATGACAAAATTTTTACAAGTTCTGAGCCAAGTAGTAAAATAGAATTTTCCACAAAGTTTGCTACATAGTGCAGTGTTTATTGTCTGAATCATTGTTGTCCAACAGAAATAGAATATAAGCCACAAATGCAAGCCACATATATAATTATAATATCTTAGTAGTCACATTAACAAAATAAAAACAGTGAAATTAATTTTAATAATATACCGGGTCCTCAAATAATGTCGTTCTGTTCAGTGTCATTTCTATATAACATTGATGAGCTGCAGTAAGAATTTAACTCATTTAATATTGATTAGTCTATGGTAAAATTGGTTTCCTTATACGCTGTTTTACTTAGTGGCAAGACCAATTCATGTTGTTAAGTGAGGACTGACTGTATGTTATCTTTAACTCAATATATCCAAAAGATGACTCTTTAACACATAATTACTATTTTTAAATGTTAATACAATATTTTACAGTATTTTTACTGTCTTAAGAATATGGGTGTAATTTATATTTTCAGTATATCTCAATTCAGGCTAGGTCCATTTCATTTGCTCAGGGAATATAATATTGTGTAGGTCTAAATGCTAATAATATTCTGAAACTAAATAGTCTCAAGAAATTACGTTCTTCTTGCCCATTTTGGCTCTCCCAGGTTTCCAAAGTCCCTCTTTTATATGAAAATTCTGCAAGCATTAGGAACATAAAAGGCAAGATAAGATAAATCTAGTTTTTTTCATTTCTGATTATAAGGAATGGTTGGTAAGGGCTTAGTTAAAAATAAAAATTTTGATGTCATTTGGGTTCTTCCCCGGTAATCAATTGCTGAATAGATTCCACCTGGTTTGGGGGTCATAGTGGTTCTAATCCAGATAGCCTATACTAATTTTTTCTGCTGCAGTTATTAATGCTTGTGGGAAGGAACAGGTGGTAGGTGGTAGTTGTGGTGAACAAAATAAGAAAATATTGTTTTTCTCTTATGCTAGGTTAATTTTGCTTTGCTGGCTCTGAATAGATGATCTTGCAAGCCTAGGACAATTCATTATAGAATGACTAGGAGGGAAAACTGTAAAACACTGTTTTTTTTTCTTAGTTATTCTTAAAAAATTCAAGTTTCCAAGGGGGATAATCATGTAGTTTACTGTGAAATATGTGCTGGATGGAATTAAGTTGACCCTGCTTCATTTTAAATATATGTGAAATAGCACTATGTGAAAAGCTATACCTGCTTTACTGTATTTGGGATTAATGATTTCTCAGAAAAAAATAGAAGAGAAAAATTTCAGAATGTATCACCCATATTTCTCTGTATAAACTGCAGGAAAGTGTTTTAAAAATGTAAACTATTGATTAGTGGCTACAGTATTTTATCTAAGTTTGTATAGGACCCAATTGCCACTATGGGCATTTTGTAATTGATCAGATTCCCATATTTGACTTTCCTAGTAAGTTTTGATTGATGCTTTATTATTCCCCACTTGGAAAAATAGAAACAACTGAGAGAACTTTTTGATGAACAAGTTATTTGGTACTGCCTCTGAGAGTTGTCATGGCTAGTTTGTGTGAAAACTGGTATTTGATACTGATGTCCAAAATAGTTTTGAAGTGTCATACTGAGATCTTTCTCTGAGTTGCTTGTTGAAATGTAATTGATTTGATTATCTCACTACAGAGTATTTCTGCTTTCTTTTGAGTTGAGATATAAAGAAGTTGAAATAATCCATTGTTAAAAGTATGATGTATTCAAAATTTTAAGCTACAGATTCAATTGTTAGCAGCAAAGACTCAAATGCAGTTGCTTAAATCTCTTATTAAAATGCAGTTAAAATTTAATTATAAACTGCTTCATTATATTTTAAGCTTTCTTATGAAGTGTTGTTGCCCTTTGATCTTTAAGAATTTATAATTTTGACCAGGATATTCATGTGCCACTCAAATATTATTTCTTTTTGCAATTTCCTTTGTACCTTAAGGTATGAATATTTTTCATTTAGCCTGATAGTACTGTTTTGCAGAAAGCAAATATTATTTTGGAAACATATTCAGAGAGTAGTTTTCTTAATCACAAAGATATATTTGCTTCTTTCTAAAAGATTTTGAGATGATTTATTAAACATTTTATAGCATTCTTTTTAACTTACAGAAGCCAAATTTGGCAACACTCGGGGTTTTTTGTTGTTATGTTTGTTGGCTTTTGAGGGGGGTTAGATAATGGTGGCCACCTAACAACTTGAAGATGTTCATTAGACAGTCAACAGTCATTACCAGGTTATAATGAAAGCAAGCCAACTACAGATTCTGTCACACAATCAGATATTTATTGGATAAATACTTATTAGCCAATCAGGAGCAAAACCTGTCTGGTAAGCAATGAAATTCTAGGTCTTTCTCATTTTAGGTACTTTGACCACGCCTTGTATGCAACATTCACTTGTGGTGGACATAGCAACACTCTAGAAGCAGAATTCTGTGCCCTTCAGTCTGCACGGTTCGGTCAGTCAGAATCCTCCTAGTCCAATAAAGCTGTAGGCCCCATCTCTGAGAAGTACAGGATATAGGTTTCAGGGGAATCTTTCACATAGTTCATTCAGGAGTAAGAAGTGTTTAACTGTATTAGCTAATTTACATAGCTTCAATGCCTTTATTTTTACTAAAGGGAGCCCATTAATACATTCACCATAATGATTAGTCAGACAATAGTTCATCACCTTTCACATACCGTTTGTGCTGAGTACAGTGTTGATTGTGAATAGATTGACCTAGATCAAAAATACTTGCAGCTGCCACCAATGGAGTATGGCTCTTTCAAATATAATGCCTGCTGACCATCCCGTTCTGTGCATTCCTGGTGCATTCCTGGACAGCTAGAATTAAAGGTTAAACTGACTAGCACATATATAATATCATACTAAAAATATCCAAATATTACAAAATAAATTACAAACAGCCCAAAAAAGTTAAACATTTTGAAAAGTAATATTCAAATATGAGATGACAAAGTTAGGTACTAACATTAGTCCCAAAAGACCTAGCAAAGTCCTCATTGGCAGAGTCAGGGAAGCTTTCCACATTGTTTCAGATTGGCAAACATTTTCTTAGCACTATTTAGGAGGAATTTATCTCATGGTTATGTATGTATTGAATTACATAATGGGGTATATTTTTCAGTCTTGCAAAAAATAAAATAAATCTCTGTTGGAGCGCTTTTTAAAAGTCACATACTCTACAGTTTTCTTACTTACTCTTACACTCATTTACCCTTTCTAAAGTGGTACGTTTTGTTATTTAGTTTGTACAGAGATAGTTAGTAATGATGGGCCGAACTAGATGGCTGTCTGTGGTCATCGCAATGCAAAAATATTTTTGTGTTGTCAGAGGTGTGTTTTTTAAAAATAAAATCTTGAATTTAAATACCTTGAATTGGTGAAACACTCGGTAATTCACCTGTTTCCCCCCTCCCACCATGACTTTCTTTTGCTAGAGACCCAGATTTTTCACACATTACTTACATGTCTAGCCTCTGAATGTATATGTGTTAAAGTTCTGAGAGGGAATATTGAGTATGTGTTTTCAGCTCTCCATACTGTTTCCCCAAAACCCTGTGACAGACTCTGCTCCTCCTCTTGGTTTTCAGTGGTGGTCATGCTTCCCTGGAGAGATGTATTGACTATCTCTCAGGTGGTGATGGTTAAGAGCAGGCACTCTAAGCCAGATAGACCTAAGCACCCTACATCTACCTCTTGCTCCCTAGTTGTACGATCTTGACTATGATACTCAGCCACTGTAGACCTTAGCTGCTTCTTGGTATCTTCCTTACAGTGTTGGTGTCAAGGTTACATGAGCTAGTACATATGAAGCACTTAGTAAGTGCCCCTTAAACAGTAGCTGTGATTATGGCGATGATGAAAACAATAACCCCCACATGTACATCTGATTCTATACTTCTGTTCTAAATTTTAGATTTCCTTGTGTCTAATTTTTT